AAATAATCAAATATATGTTTTCATTAGGTATATAAAATTAAAAAACGCATTAGAATTTCCAGATAGGAATTCTTTTATTCCTCGACATATATGAATAATATGAGCACTTTCTTAAGAAAAACCCAGTTACTTTAAACAGTCACGGATTAATTTATAACAGAATAGCAAACATGATGTTTAATGATATCATGTTTGGTTATCCAAAACAAACTTAAATATTTGTTTATAAACGTCCAGTTAAAGTTCAGAAAACAGACATTGTTGATAACAAATAACATTCTCGTGAAATACATTTGAAATATGTCTACTTCCTCTCTCTCTCGCTATATATATATATATATATATATATATATATATATATATATAACCATAGAAAAATAGCTTCGAATGTCTTTACCACATAGTCATCTCTTACAACATATAGCAAGAAATCTAATATGTAATTGCTGATATTTTGGACTGTTTAGCATAATTCGAAAAACCAACGATTCAAAAACTTAAAAATCCATGATTGTGTAATAGCTAGTCATTTAATTTATAATGATAGCATCATCACTATTTTAACTCGGTTTACCAAAAACCCAACTTGACTTCATAGCTATTAAAAACTGAACCATTTAGGATAGTTACTTGATAAGGCTTGCCTGATTGAACGCAATATTCGGTTCCTAAGCTCTTCTCGTAACCCCAAGCTAGAACTACACAGCGACCTGAACACGAGAGAAAAGGCGCAAAATATGCGAGGAACATTTTACTCTAAAGGTTCGTTTTTAGTACAGGAAATTTAGGGTTTTTATAGTATTTTAGATGTCCTTGGGTTTCCCGAAGATTCTGGAATGCCACTAAACATAGTAGCAGTATAGTAATCAGCCAATCAGAAACTCTACATGTGACTTTTCACTTTCTTGACGTTTCTGGCTAAACTTCAAGTGAATGCTGATTAAATGAAATGCTTCTTAGTGTTTCCCGAGCCTTTGTTGTCTTTTGCGAGTTTTCTGGAACATCACAAAATTACTAATTTATCACTATGATAGTGGACTGGATTTTCGCTCATTTTCCACATGCTTTCTTCGATCTTTAATTAATTGATTGGCAAACTGTCCACCTCAAAAAGTTATTTTCATTGATCCTCACTAACTCGACCATTAAAACTCGAGTAAATCATTCTGATTTTTCACAATCATTACGCACCGCAACGAATTCGTACTTGGGAGACTGAAATTGGTTCTTACTCTAGTAAGTACGTGTGTCTGTTAATATGGTTCAACAGTGATCATGTTAAGTACACAAACGAAGGTAAAACAGCTAACAGGAGATCAAAGATGATTGGGGATAATATAAGATTGCAGGATCACAACGTAACTCTGCCTCCCAAATGGTATTCATCAAATTACAACAAAAAGAGGGGAAGCTCAAGGTTATTCTAGAACACATGCCTTCAGTCCAAAAGAACCAGTCTGAGGCTTCGATACTTATCTAGATCTATTTTTAAATAGGCTTGAAAATATAAACTTTCATTGATAATCTTCAACATTCCAACCACTCATATATATCATTTTCGATTATGTTGTGTTAGATAATTCCTTTGTACGGTTTCAAAATATGATGACCGTTAACTGTGTATTTTGGTAGGCTAATTCTCCTGATATCACTACAGCTTTACTCGAATATTGGGAAAACATAAAACTAATAGTTGGGATAACTAGTAAAACCCACAAGCGTGGGAAAGGAGAGCACAGCGGAAAGTGAATGAGTAAAAAGTGCAAGCACTTATGTGTTCCAAGTGTTAATCGATACATGGGTCAAGTTACTGACTGTTTTAGTTTACAACCATTGAGAGGCTAAAGGTTGAAGTGCAGAAATACATTAAATCAGACTTACATTATGCTTATACACAGTGGATCAATCGTCTAAGTTACTACAAGTAGGTAGTAAAAATATAAGACGGTTACTGTTATGTTATATTATGTCACCATTTGATGAGTGCCAATAAATGCAAAATTAAAGAATTACACTGATCGGTATTATTTTTCTACAATTATATGTCCTCATTAGAACGAATCGTATAAAACTTTCGCGAGTGAATCCACATGAGGTTTTGACGAAATCCCTGAGAATTATCACGTATATTCGATAGACAACAACCTAAATATTCGGTGTTTTGAGTTAGTTGTACACTGTACTATTATCACTCATATTAAACATACATCAAATGGTAGCACAAATGATTATATATACATACGTACCTCCTGATGGTTTTAGGAAAGCAGGAATAAGTTCGATTTGCTCTCAGGTTTAAATCTGTTAGCCACTAAAATCAATGGAAATTAAATTAAAAGTATCTGAATTGAGCGATAATACTCAACTGCTGATTGCCTCTGTTTACTTGGTTCGTGCTGTAATTAAAATCATATGAATATCAATTTTTCCCAGCCTACTTTCGGTCCTAAAAATAATGAGTTGTATAGTAGACGCGTATGAATACATAAGAACAAAAATGCCGAACGCATTCCTTCTCACCAAAATCATCGAATGCAGACATACATAAGTTTCTAAAGAATAGCAGCTCACGTGCAACTGAGTTTGCTTACATTTAATTTGGTTAAGCCCGTTTGTTAACTTGTTTAACAGATAGTCATTCGTACAATAACAACATATCCATACCATTGCACATTTATCATTGTTGCACGTGTATGAATATGCGTGCTAGAGCATTGCTTACTGCCTACGCATATATTTATTCTGTTAGCTTTAATGTTAGTCGCTTAATTGATTCGATGATCCATTCATTTCACCATAAATATATATATATAAATCCTGTTCATTCACTCGCCCATTCAATCCGCATGCTCACACTCTTGCCCGCTTGCTCTTCGGCACTACTCTTTCATGTTTGTTTAGCACATCTGTAATTTCGGTTATCTGTGCGTGGTGCAATATTAAACGCTACCAACACTTCGTATTCGCCTTCTCATTAATACACCGTTGAAGCATTATTTAGTGACGGTTATCAGGACGAACTGTATACGAAGTTTAAAGATTGTATTAAATACCGACCACCACAAATGTTATTACGAACGTGTTATAACCCACCTAGAGCTGTGTAAATTCAGAAAATCAGTGCCACAGTGAAGGCGAAACAACATTTAGGCGATCTTGCACTGCATCCACGACATCTCGACCTAGCATCCTACAATTGATGTAAAGAGATTTTTAATACACCCAATCTACTAACCACCAGCAGAACGCGTAAGTAACCACACTATTTTGTATTTCCTTAATAATCAACCGATAAAGTGAAACGTTAGACCGAAAAATTACGACTGTACGCCATTTGTTAATTTTCGGACTGAATGGTAAGATGTGTAAACACAGTTCTTAAAAACTAAAGAAAGATTTATTTCCAATATTGACCGAAGATATCAATTATAACAGTGTAAAATATGATCTAATAAACAAAACAATATGTTTAATCTATGCAAAATGTAAAAATGCCATCAAATAGAGTGCAGTGAAACATGAAGAGAGGATTCACACACAAATCACCAGTATCACTGATTTCTCGCCTAAGAATAATATTGAGATATTCCTAAAAAGTAGATATTGTGTGGTGATCCGGAGTTAAGAACAGTACGTGAGAAAAATTTGTACAGTTGTAGTTGAATCACATATAAACTAGTTGGATTATTCGTTGAAAGGTGATTTACAAGAGAAATTGATGGCGAGACTATAATTTATGGACGAATCAATCAGCTTTAGGATAACATGTCTTGGATTTTGGCGCGAAATTTATTCACATATGTTTAAATAACGCATTGGCAATTTAGCTGATGTCAGTTCGTGATGAAAACCATAAATCTAATTCCTAACTCCCATAATCAATTTTAAATCCTAATCCTTATTCTTCAAACTGCTTCATAGCACTCATTTAGCACTAGTAAGTGGACATTTTCAAGGTCATTTTAGCCTCGCTGGGAGGTCGCCCATAAATTATAGTCTCACCAAATTGATTACTTATCGATCGAACTGCATTTTTGTACAATCAAGTTATGAAACATTTTTACAATTGATGGATATCGCTGATTATTTGGTTGAAGATGTGCCAAAATAATGTCATATTTTACTCATTAATCGAGGAAGAATGACAAATAAGTTTGTGCTTTTCTACCGACTGAAACAGAATTCTAAAAAGATATGATTAATTATGAATATTTAATCGCTACTTTAAGTCATCTGTTATTAATGTGCAACTTACCACAATATAACAGACGACAGATTTTGGCACTTTGGTTGTAATGATGTCCTATCTGGTGAATTAGATCAAATCTCATCTAACTATGCATGAAAGCACTCAGCATTGAAAACACGTAATACAAAAACACGCAAATATATGGAGAAGGCATTTTCAGCGTTATATATCTTTGTTGAGTAAAAGAAAATAATACAATCGCAATAATTAGAGCTCTAGATTACTTCGGAAATATTCCTTTTCGATATGTTACATTTTATGCGAATTTCTCTCATTACTTTACTGGCAAATAATAATGACAGAGTATACACAGAACCAAGTAATAGAATACAGACACGTCATTTACAAAACATGACGAAATCAACAATGTAAAAGGTAATAAAGCATGTACAAAGTGGAGAGGAAAATTACACTATAACATCATTATCATCATCGTTATTTGAAAGCGGGGAACAGGAAAGGAAATAATCCAATTACTCAAACAGAAAGAAAACACAAGTTAGTTTACACTAAACTAAATATGGACAAATAGAAAAAAGACATAAAAATTGTTGAATGACAATATACAAAGAAAAGAAATCAAAATATTAACAAAACAAAAAGTTATCTGGCTAACTGAAATAAGTTTTACGTCATTATTATCATGGCCCAATAGCTTTACCAGAACAGTAGTATGTTTTAAAAAAAGTGGAAATGTTTTCAAGTTAGAAAAGTAAATTACCTTGCTAGTGGTGAAAGCTTCGAACATCCACTATCTTAAGATATTTTTCAAAGCTGCAGCCTGTCTTCTTGTAGTAATGATAGGTTCAAAAGGCTGTTAAAAGGTACAGAAGATAAAGAATCAGTAATTTACGAAGGGCAACTATATTGAAATGTCTAGTAATCTACAACTGTCGATCAAATACAAGAAATATGAAAGATGTGGCTAGTGCTACGGAATATGCAGTAACAATCGTCATCCGAGTGAACATAATGTATAAAATGGTTTAAAAAAATATTAAGGAAATAGTGCTTAATAGCCACTGATGATTGAAAATGGTTAAAATAAATCATATATATATATATATATATATATATATATATATATATATATACGACATAGTACAATCAACTGAGACTCAAACATTTTCGGTTGAAATTGAAATGCTGATGTTCAGTTACTTAATATTCTCATTGCCGTCAATGTTTTAACTTAGTATGACAAGACCAATCACGCTACACTTAAGTGCGCATGCTACAATTGAGTAATTTACTATTAAATAATCATGGTACCGGGATTTTTTAGTGTTTATTAGGCGCAATCGGTCTATTTCTGTTATATCTAGAAGGTTGTTTTTGATATACCGCGTATAACGTGATCACTAGAACGCCAGAATCCTTCCAAGTTGCAATGCGAACACAGAAAACTAATGAAAGGAATATTATTCCCACACAGTGTCAATTATAGTACAAAACTGTCAGGTATTTATAGTTTTTAGTAAGAACGAGCCTCTTACAGCTTCCTTAAGTTCATCCGTGGTTCGTCGTCACACCTCCTTCCTTTAAAGTCTGTCGTGTAAGACTTTTTTTTCCCGGATCCATCTGAAACTTGGTTGCCGCATTCCTCTTGCGGTGCATCATTCTTGAGGGTTGTACTGCTTTGCCTTTGCGCTGTTTATCTCTTCTATGTCTGCGCTACTGAGGGCTTTTCTGAGATGAATCCACGAGCAAGTGAAATGGGAGTCAGGTTTCTGGGACCACTCTACTGACATCTCTTTGCATTTGATCTATGTGTCTTATACATTTTCCGACACCTTTCCGGACTAGGTACAGTACATTTACGATTCGACATTCTATGACACTTGGTTCCCACTTCCTATTACCTTGATACGATTTGACAAGTACCTTTTCACCCACCTGGAAGCTACGAGTGACCGTACGATACTCATTCGTGGGTTTATTTGTCTTTGTGGATGGCAACATACTGTTAAAGACTGTCCAGATTTTCCTTCCGAACATAAACTCAGCTGGTGACATTCCTTCTGGTACTGCCGGACTAGGGATAACTCTGTAGGACATTAAGAACTTACTGGTCACTTGTTCTGGAATACCCTCACCTCGACCTTTGACCAGAGCTCTTTATATCCTATCCACGAATCTTTCTGCTTGACCATTCGACTGAGGATGGTACAGAGGAGATTGTAGATGCGATATGCCATTTTCACTGCAAAAGGGTTTGAAAGCGGATGACATGAACTGAGTCTTGTTGTCGGTCACTAAGATCTTTGGAACCCCGAAACAAGCAAGCAATCCTGACAATCTTCTTACTGTACTCTCTGATGTCGTATACTTCTGGGCATTTTGTGAAAGCATCGACAACAACTACGTAATTTCTGCTTTGTATTGGTTCGGGGAAATCAGCGTGTATACTTTGCCAAGACCCGCCCGGTTTTGGTCATAGTTGTGGTCCAGCTTTCGTTGGATTCTTTGCAGCCTCTAGACAGGACCAACAACTGCGACATTTTTGTTCTATATCATGGTCCACTGACGACCAGTATGCATAGCTGCGAGCTAGTGATTTTATTTTACTTATCCCCGGGTGCCCGCTGTGGAACTGATTAATGACTTGGTGTCGAAGATTTCTGGGGACAACGATACGGTGGACAAACGTGATGCACGAATCGACAACTGTTAATGACTCTCGTCGACGAAAATATTGTAAAAGTTCTCCATGTAGTCTAGATGAAGACCACTTGTTGAGTATGCAGTGGCGAACAATCTTCAATGCATTATCCTTCTTGCTAGCTTCTTTAATGGCTTCGAATGTGACCGGGGGTCCGAAAACTACGTCTGCCAATACTTTGTGAACCTCAACCTCAACATCTATGGCAGCTACAAGCACCTCATCTTCTTGTTTTGCATGCAAACCAATCCATCTTGAGAGGGCATCTGCCTGTCGGAAATCCGTTGTCGGTTGATACTTTATCCATGAAATCATAGTCCAGAAGTGTAGTTGCCCATCGCTGTAGACGGTTTGTTGTATATACAGGGTTAACGTTTTTGGATCCAAAAACTGTCAGTAGCGGTTTATGGTCTGTTAGAAAGGTGAACTGTCTGCCAAACAGCATCTTGTGGAACTTTTTTACAGCAAATATGATGGAGAGGGCTTTTTCTCAAGTGTACTATAGTTCCTTTCAGTCATAGTCAGCGATCTTGCAGCGTGGGCGATTGCCTTCTCAGACCCGTCAGAGTATGTATGTGAAATTACTGCTCCGATTCCATAGTTTGACGCATCTGCTGAGACTATAATTGGAAGACCTGGATCACACTGTGTAAAAAGAAGGTTTGATGATAGGAGTTGCTTTAGTTTTAGGAATGCTTCCTGGCATTCGGTTGACCAGAACCACTTAGTATCCTTTTTCAGTAAGTAATTAAGAGAAGCACGAAGGTGATGCAGATCTGGAAGAAAAACGCAATAATGAATAACCATTCCCAAGAAAGAACGTAAAGTGGATACATCCGTCGGTGGAGGCATGAACTTGATAGCTTCGACGTTTTCAGGATCAGGTTTTCTTCCGTTTTTATCGATTATGAATTCCAAATAGCGGACTTGCTCAATGTAAAAATCACATTTTTCACCCATAATCTGCTATGCGTCTGAGAACTGTGTCCACCTTCTTCTCTAAGTCAGTATAGTCTGCACCCATGATCAGTATGTCATCGACATAGGCCGTGGTACCAGAAATATCTTGTAACATAGTATCCATAACTTGGAAGATTGAAGGGGAGGTCTTTACGCCAAAAGGAAGTCTGTTATATCGGGACAACCCTTTATGAGTGCTTATTGTCAAGTAATGCTTACACTCTTCCGCTACTGGAATCTGTAGATAAGCTTCTGATAGGCCTAATTTTACAAAATACTTACCCCCATTCAGTTTCGCAAATAAATCTTCTGGTACCGGCAAAGTGTACTGATGAGCTCCAAGTGTTGCGTTTAATCCGTTCGAATAATCTGCGCATAGCCGGATACTTCCATTTGGCTTTTTGACAATCACTGTTGGTGCTGCCCAATCAGAAAATTTTACTGGTTCTATTATTCCACTTCTTTGCAGATGTCCTAATTCTTGTTCAACAATAGGCAGCGCTGCATAGGGGTACCGGACGTTTTGGTCTGAAGATGGGGGTAACTCCCGGTTTAAGAATCAGTAGTGCTTTTACCTTCTTGCACTCCCCCAACTCTTCCATAAACACTTGACAATGTCTTTCCAACACAACACCCTTCAGATCCTTTTCCACTGGTTTATTGGTTCTCACGGCGCTGCATATGTGGTTAATGGAGTGATTTGCTAATTGTAATGTTTCTATCAGGTCTAGATCCAGCAAATCTAGTCCTGGGTTCTCTGTGAGATATAACGTTGCATTCTTCTTCGCGCTTCCTTTTGAAACTGTACAACAAACGTCTCCAACAATATTTAATCTCCCTTCAGATGCACTGTGAACTAACTGGGTTGTTGGGAGCACCTGTGGTTTCCCGATAAGATTCCAGGTCCTTCGACTAATAAGTGTGATGTCGGAAGCAGTGTCGAGCTGCTTTTTGTTTATATCTAAGTTTACATACTTTCGTTGGTGGTAAATTTGTGCTCGATCGTGTGATACCAATATTTTGTTAGTTAGAGCAATATACCTGTATTTCTTGGAGTAGGGTTTCGAAGAATGTCGTTTATGGGTTCTTTTCCTGCAGCTGTTTTCTTTATGGCCCTTCCGATGACATTTGCTATAACAATGTTCTTTATATGGGCAGAACCTCTTATAATGCCAACCTCCATATGACCAACATGGAGATGAGGGCTGATTGTCTGTGTGCGATAATCTTCTTGAGCAGAAATCTTTCTTTCCGCTTACAGCATAAACGTATGGCAACTGGCCATTATTTTCGACCATGGAAGTGTCATGCTTTAGGTTTACCAATCTCTGGCACTCTGTAGTTACTTCTTGTAGTGTTATATTCGGACATTGTTCAATTTTACTCGAAATTCTGGTTCTAATATCAGCATCTTCGGGAGACTGGAGGCTGCACACAAACACGAGACAATTAAACTGGTCTTCTGTCATTGCTGATAGTTTGAAGCGCTCATATTCACGGTTTACTAACCCCGCATGCTTCACCCAGCCATCATCACTTGCTTTTGTCATCTTGAGACATTAATAACGAATATTAAACAAGAATGACTGTTCAGCAAAGATTTGCGACAAAATTTCAATCGTTGCATCAAAACAAAAATCTCTTGGATTCTTTGGAAGGACAAAGTTAATGTAACGTTCATGTTCACCCGTTCCAAGTTTTCGTAAGAGTATTCTGACCTTAGCGGCATCGTCAAGTTTTTTGAGGTCGACCTTGAACAAGTCTTCGTATTTCTTGAACCAGGTTTCAAAAGTAATGCCAGCCGAATCATCGAAATTAAATTCATGGACAGAATTAATGATGTGGTCAACGTGAGATTTGAAGAGATCATCTGTAACTTTTTTTTGATCCAGGTTCATTTTCTGGGTTAGCATCTTTATCATGAGAATCTGGAAATGTCTGAAACGTTTTTCTTGATGTTCCAGCAAGGCTTCAAATTGTTCAAAGGTAAATGACATCTTGGTACGATAACCCCGTCGCCAGTTGTTATATCTAGAAGGTTGTTCTTGATGTACCGCGTATAACGTGTGTACTAGAATGCCAGAACCATTCCAAGTCGCAATGAGAAGACAGAAGAATAATGAAAGAAATATTATCTCCAGACAGTGTCTATTTCACTAGTGAGCATTATGAACTATACAAGAATAAATGAAAATTGTAATAATTACACAAGACATTTACATGATAAAGGTTAAGTCTTTGCATAAACCCATGTAAAATGCTTGTTCATGAGTATGCCAAAAAATTACATTTGAATAGGTCACGTCTGCAACAAATTTAAGTTTCGCAATGTTGAAGCGTCACGTAAAACAAACATTTCGGCAATGGATGTACACTACGCCTTTCATGGAATACAGTTTTGGAGCACACATTACTGTTAAAAATTGAGCTGTCATGCTACTGATGTGCCGTGGATTGTGTTTCTAGTATAACCATACAGACGAAGAAAACCTCTAATATTTGCTACTTTCTGGCAATTTGAAACTTCAAAACCAGAGGATTAAGGTGAATAACACAAACAGAATGTCTCAAAGCTTTAGAAAGCTATAACGAAGAAATCGACATGGTAATATTCAACCATAGTTTTACTATTTGTTTGTAAGCTGGTACTTCACAATGAATGAATCAAGTGATAATACATTTTGAATTAATGCTAACAGGACATAAAATAACAAAAACGTACCAGTTTTTCTTCACTCGTATTTTGATTTTTCCGAAATGAAGAATCTTTAATCTTCGTTGAAGATGTTCTTGAATTGCTTTCAGCTGATATATCTACAGGTTGAGAAGTTTCAGGAATTTGATTTTCGTCAGTTACGAAATCAGATTCGGTAACATTCTTATTCTCGGAATTGATAAGATCTGAATTAACCTGTTCATTACTTTCCCTTTGATTTATAAGCGTAGAAGACGATGCACAGTTCAAGGAAACAGAACTGTCTAAATGTTCAGTTGTATTTAAATCTAAATCACTCTGAGTTGTTTTTTCAGCAATCAAAGAATCACAGTCATGGATGGGTAGCTCAACCTCTCTACGAAAAGTACCAGGTGATGATTTTATATTATACAAATTGTAATTAACATTAGGTGATAAACCGATAGGTTGATTCATAGCACTGTTTGAAGTGGCAGATGTTTTTACTAATGGAGATGCTGTTAAACTACTGGAATCAAAAGATCTATTTGTCGGACTTTCTTGAGATAAAGGTTTGGAAAGTCTACAACATAAATTAAAAAAAGTGAGTCATAAAAGCAAAGAGCAGTAAATGTAATATTACTTATGCATTACACAATTTAAAAAAATTTCGTTGGAAATCAAAAGCAATAAAAATGACGGTCAAATATTGATGTAGAAACGCTCCAATTTCCTTTACATGTGGTATATTTTTTTAAAATCAGTAACGTAATTATTTTTAATTTCAGGTTATTTCCAGAAAAGCTTCAATCAATGCACATAATATGTTACCAACACAGTACCTTGTTCAAATAGTGGGTGAGTAATGTTAGTATTCCTTTTATTTTACTAACAACTAATGTAAATACTCTGATACAACAGTGCATCGAAAAAATTGACCATATGAACAATTAATATATCATCAAAATTTACAGCTTAATTTTGCTAACATTTGGAAACAAAACTCACACTCTGAGCTGTGATTCAATATATTTACTATAATCCAAGTTGGGCACCACTTTATTTCGAAGCAATTTTCGTCGCCACTTTAGAACAGGACAACGAGATCTTGCACAAGCACAATCCAAAGGATAACGACACGCTCGGTAGTCCAAGTCAAAAGGTATGGTTAACTCAGTCCCGGGCATCACTTCAACAGACGTACGAATTACAATTTTAAGTTTATTTTGAACAACGTAATGCTCGAGCTGCAGAATATCAGCAAAAAAAATAGTACAGAACATCCAATTACGTAAATATATAGAAAGATGAGATATAAACACACAAGAAAAGAAACTATACCAAACTATACAAAAACGCTTAAGAAATTCTGAAACGTAACATCATCTAGCAAAAACACACCACATCCATCTACTATAGTGAGTAGCTAAATATTACTTACACCTGTTACCTCTAGTGGAGGACTGGCCGCCAACCAAGATCTTTCAACGAAACTAATATCGGCAATCCAGTCTAGTTGTTTCTAAATGCTATCCATTCTTTTGATTTCTTCCCCAAAATATATCATTTGGTCTACCTCTTTTTGATTTGCCTTCTGAATCCCAAGTTGAAGCATGGATTGAAGTGTAGTTTAATTATCTCCGACTCAGTGTGCTTCTTGGTTTCCTTCTTTCCCTTTTCTCTCTCAGGATTCTGAGTTAATGTTAGCCTCATCATTCAATTTAGTGATTTCCGTAATATATGGCCTAGTCACTTTCAACGTCTTTTACAAATTTCCTCTTCAGCTGTAAGTTGGTTTGTTCTCTCCCACGATTGGCTGTTACCGATTGTATTTGGCCAACAGATATTGAGAATCTTGAATAGACAACTGTTTACTTCCTTGATGATTGTTGTAGTAGTTCTCTTATCTCCAGCTCCGCACAGTAGATCTGTCTTACGTTCGTATTGAAGATTGTGACTTTAATGTTGGTTGACAGTTGTTTTAAGTTCTATATTATCTTCAATTGTGGGAATGCTGTCCAATCCTGGCCTATACATCTACATCAGATCCTGCTTGTTTATCGACGATGCTGTCCAGGTATATGAAAGATTTCACATCTTCCAGAACTTCTCCAAAAAATGTGAATGGGTTGGTGCTCTCTCTGTGTTGTATTTAAGGATCTTGATTTTTTCTTGAGGATGTTGAGGCCTATTGATGCAATAGTCAGTCAGTCAGAAAGAACGTAGAACTTCGTACGTACGTACATCAGTTCGAGTCCCCATATCACACTAGCACACATATACAATTATCGATTCAAATCCCGTAGTGGTAGAGGTAGTAAAAGTTTAAGCAGTAATCGGAAATATTAGGGTTTGAAGATGTTATTCAAGGAGTATAATACAGTGTTATAAATTTGGTAAGAGAAAAAAAAGGCCATGAAGAATCCAGAAGATTATAATTTGGGATACCACAGAGTGGATACACCTGCACCATTGGAAACGATTTTGAGCCACGTCATTCAAGGTCTCCAACCATCGAGTGCTATCATCTCGCGGATCCCAACCAGGTAGTCTACACCTACCAACATGACTCAGTCCACTTGTCAGTGACTTCATGGATTTGTGACATGTTTTGATCTGGCACGTCGAGGCAGTTGGTGGTTGGGCATACGTAGCACGTGTCCCAGCCATCTCAACTGATGAAGTTTTACTACGTCATCAATTGATTTGCCACCCTAACCTAGTGCTCATTTCCTAACAACTGCATAACTTACTCAGTGGTCCCAGGATATACGAGCAATGTTTCGGAGACATCTATGACCGAATACTAGTAATCCACGAATATCATCTACTCTTACCGGCCATGTTTCACAGCCATAAAGTAGGAAGGAACGAAATGCTGCACAACAAACCTTTCTTTTGGTTGGTAGACGGATATCTCGCCTATGCCATAAATGTCAAAAGCTAGTCGAGCCTTCTGTATTTGTCACACACCAGACCTGAAGCAACATTTTGCATTTCGAAGGGGAGAATCGCATGCCGAACATGCCTGCATTGTTGCTTAGAGTGGTCAGAAGACTCTGCATTTTGTCAGCGTCTTCACCAAATAGAACTATATCATCGGCATATTCCAAGTCAACAAGTGAATCTCCTGGTAGAAGTTCAACCCCTGGAAATCTAGACGAGGAAATTGTTATCTCTAAAAGTACGTCTGAACGTGTGTCTGTGTTCTAGAACCTGACGTAGTGTGAATATGTGGTCTATACAACCACGTCCAGGTCGGAAACCAGCCTGGTTTACTCTAGTCTGCTCTTCACGAGCTTTGGTTAGGCGTCGAAGTATTATTGAAGCTAATATTTTAGACACTATATTAGTCAAACTGATTCCTCTGTGATTGTCACAAGAGGATTTTGTCCTTTCTTATAGACTGGCGCAATCAATGATTGAGATCAGTCAGATGGGATCGCGTCCAGTTCCCAAATTCGACCTAAGACCTCCCTTAATCTCACTGCTAATACTGGACCACCATCCTTAAAAGTCTCAGGAGTAAACCTGTCAGGGCCTGCTGCTCTCCCTCGTTTCAGATTTCCTATGGCTTTTTCAACTTCGTAAAGGGACGGAGGACCTACATTAACTTGCCATTCAGGTTGACTAGAGATCGTGGGAAACCGAAGTGTGGCTGAAGGCCAGTTGAACTGATCCCTGAAGTGTTCTGCCCATCGATCCAGTCTCCTGGATTGAGAATGTATAATATGTCCATCTTTCTCTGAGATTGTTTCGCTAACAGTCGTTTTTCTAATACCGGTTTCCTTAAAAAGTCGGAACAGTCGTCTGCTGTTACCTATTGCCGCTGCCTTTTCCATCTCTCTTGCTTTCGCTACCCACCACTGTTCACGATCATTGCGTGGGCTTCTTGTCAGCTTGCGCTTAAGCTGACTCCGCTCTTCGTTATGTTCAGAGACAGATGGAATGAGTTTTCAAGCATCTATCAGTGCAACAGAGGCTGCTGAGATTCAGTGTTGCTCCCTAACCTTACGGGTTACCTTACTGGCAGATATCATTGCTGTTTCCACAGCTTTTCGGATATCATTCCAAGCTGTCATAGGGTGAGCATCACATACATGGCTGCCTAACTGTTTTCCTAGTTGTTTCTGAAATATACTCTTAGCTTGACTATCATTAAGTAGGACCGACTTCGCCCTCAGACCTTGAGTTGCTGCTTTTAGTCTTATCGTTCTCCAATCGACCTGACTGGCATGGTAAAACTTACAGGAACATATGTTCCTGCCAAAATAGCTCGATTGAGTGATCACGATAGGCAAGCCTGACCACCGCGTCAAGGTAGAAGCTACGGTCACGAGCTGCTATATTATTTGTCTTTATCTGCATTTTTTGCTGTGTATGGGATGGAAAAGCGGGGTCATCTGCGAAGTTCAAATTGTCTCGTTGCATCCAATCTGTACAATGTACTCCGTGCTTCCATTCAAATGTGGAAGTCTTTATAATCCATTCGACCATCTGAAGAATGAGAAAGAGGGCAAGCAGTCTTGTCTGACACCAGTGTTCACTAGGATTGCTTCTGTAGGCTGTTCCCCATACATAAATTTGCAGCGTAGTATATCGTACGATATTGACGGTCTTGCCAGCTACGCCATAGTGTTGAATACGATTGCGTAACGTTTTTCTTCTATCCATACCATTAAACGCCTTCTCATAGTTAATGCATAATAACGGTTTTCAATAAGTTGATTGTTCAAAAATGACCTGTGGTGTGACTTGGTGTGTGTAACACCGATCCTTACCGCATCCGACCTGTTGATCTCAATGTCGGGTGGCTATTGAATCTTTTACCGGTTCAGAAGCACTTTGTTGATTACGTCTTCTGGTATCGATGGCAGTGTAATGCCTCTGCAGTTCACACATTCGCTCAGATATCATTCCTTGACGAAATATCCTACATTCTAGTCTGTCGGCACTTATTCCTCCTCCCTGAATAGAACGTTGAGCATGTTCGCAGTCAGTGTTATGTCCAACTCCAGTGCTTCAGCCGGTATGTTGTCTGTTCTTTCTACATGACACTCTTGATTTGTCTGCTGATTTCCTCGATCGTTGGAGGAGTAACATTTATAGGAAGGTCTGTGTGTGTTGCTTAGAAATTTGGTGGGTTCAGTAGGGTTGTCTATTCAAGAGTTACTCAAATTGTTTTGCCCATCTGTCCCGCAATTCTTGATTTGCCCTCTTTGTCTCTGATTTACAATATTTCCTTGCTAGTTATCTCATATTTCCTTCTCAGCAACCTTTTCCGCTGTCATTGCTAGGTCTTCCATGTATTTCTATTTGTCGGCTCTAATGCCACTTTTCACTCTTGTCTGCTTCTGTGTATTCGATCTAGGCCTTGACTCTCTCTTCTTTTTTTCGACTGTTAATAATCGTTGTTTTCTACCTTTCTTGAGTCCTGTCTAGGGTATCGATAGAAATTCATTCTTTATGACAGTTCTTCTTGACATGTTGAAGTTAGTGCTTCTTTGGTTTCTTTCGAGTTATCCTACAAAGTAGTTCCCTTCCCTTCGAGTAGATCTTAACATGCTTAGGACCTTTTATACAGAGCTATCTTGCGTTCGCTAAGTTTGACAGTATCTCTAGGGAAGGCTGTATGAAACCTTTGTAGTGTTGTTTCTTCATTTTTCCAGTGCTTCTGTAGCTTCAGTTTGGTCGTGGCAACTACTAGGAGGTGATCCGAAGCTGTGTCAGTATCTCACTTTGTCCTCACGTCTTCCATTGTCTTTCTGAATTTCTTAGTGATACAGATATGATCGATGGAATTTTCTGTAGTGTGATCAGGTGAGATTCATATACCTTTGTGTATGTGTTTTTGAAGGAATGAGTTTGCAAATCTCTCACCATTCTCGTTTATTTCTTCCAGTTCATGTCGTCCCATGATATCTTCGCACCCGGTGTTATCCATTCCGACGTTTAGGTCACCCATCAGGATGATCAGGTCTTTTCGTTGACACTTCACAACGATCGACTGCAGCCCTTCATAAAACTGATATTTATCGTCCTCATTGCTGTCATTGGTAGGTGCATAGCACTAGACAGCATTCATCGTGATACCGAAATTCTTGATTTTGAAGAATGCTAAATATTATCAATAGTCTAAACACAATGATCTTGACTCCAGGTTAACAAACGGAATCACACTGATTGCTGATCTATAGGGATTGAATAAGTGCCGTTTGATTAGTCATTTTAAATAATAAACGACCTGTTTCGCAAATTAGGTGATACACAGATTTTTGTAAACAATAAATATCGTTAAAAGACCTTGATTCAAACCTACTCTACAATTCGGAATACATGAACGTCGAACAAATCGTGCACTATTTCCATATTGACTAGAGTCAATGACAACCGTCCGATCGCCAAACCCACGATAAAACATAACGTAACGATTATAGCTGTTAAAAGAGATAAAGAAATTTATGTGTTATTACAGTTTTTAAATCTTCCCTTTACCATACAACAGTGGATGAACGACAATCAATCAACTAGATTAACTTTTTAACTAAACGAATTAAATATTATTATATATATATATATATATATATATATATATATATATGACTGAAAACTAAAAAAATGAGAAGAGAAGCAAAACATATATAATATGAGAAAATATGTGTGGCACTAATAATAAGAATTAAAAATTAGAAAAGAATTTCTATGATATACTTACTCGGAAACAGGATCTACATAATGTTCATATTCTTCCATCAGTAAGAAATGACCTCGAACTTCTGTCACAACTTCATTCGGTGCTAATCTGATTGATGCTTCTAAGCCCTGTTGACAGAATAACAATCAGTTAATGTTCAATGCTTAAGTGTACAATATATAAATGCTAATTGGTACAAGTAAAATAACGGGAGCAAAAGTAAACAATCTGAAGCGTTTGGGGTAATTTTATTTCTCCACAACGAATACATGGGGTTTGAGCAAAATATGCCAACGTGGTTGCATTATGAAATAAAATTCTTAAAGGAACATACGCGTGACCTAATATATTAAGTGTTTGAAAGCAACTGATATTTGTGAAAACGCTTATTGAAAGAAATTAATAACATTGATTTTTATGCGAATGCTATTATTTATTTACTAAGGAAAAGACAGAAGACTATGAGAGGAACAATACCAGTTATTTTGAGCTGACGATTTATATAAAATATTTTAATCAATACAGTCGAATAGGATTTAGTATCACACTGAAGGTGTTGTGATCTTTAACACTATTAACAAAAATAGTGAACCGAACTAAATTGGACCAATATAGAAAACCTGGAAGTAATAAAGGGCTTATATAAAGATCCTAGTTAAATAAAAGGAATTCACACAAGCTTTTGTTATATTTTACTGAAATGACATCTGACGAATTAAACAGGATACCAAGCAGTTTAGTCTTATTCCACGAATAATCAAAACATTGGAATACTAAACGCTTGAGACTAATTAACTGACTGTTTTTTGACTGTCATTAAAACTACTATGGTCATTTTTTTCTCCTACCGATAAGTTTTGAGAGTATGACCATAAATACTACGAAAATAGTGATTGGTTCAAGGGTTTTCGGAATATGTGCTCAACATGGGCTTACGTTAATACTACTTTTCGCTCAAATATCTGAAGATACAGTATATATATATATATATATATATATATATAATAAGAAACGATTACATCACTTCTGGAATTATTAGTTGATTAGTCGACAGACTTGAGAAATGGAACGTTGTAAAGAAAATTGCTCATTATTCGTCTTTCTAGGCTACTCAGATACTCAAAACATAAATATCTTACGCCCATAGATTTTTGCCTCTAATGCGTGACTTGCTAGAGTGATAACCTTTAGTTTATTTTTATATAGTAGCTGTCAATCCTGCAGGTTCTCATTTGTTCATACAATGGATTTCACAAACTTGTCCAACTGTAGCAGGTTAACATTTATTGAGGCATTATAACCATATCCTCTTAGTCTTAGAGAATTCTCATTTTTCGATTATTTGTCGCTTACTTGAAGACACATAGGTAAAAAAAAAGATAACATTTCTAATGTGTTTTAAGTTTCATCAGTTGTTGATCATTTATATAATCATATACCTTTTCCCATTTGGCTTTTAAAACGATGTGACAACTTTTTATATAATCCAAAAGAAAAAAGTAATCATAAGACGACGTAACTAGAGGCCTGTTAAACATGGATTTGAAACACATCACTATTATTATTTGTGTAGCAGAAGTATCACAAAATACACAAGTCAACAGATCCATCATCAATCAGTTAAATATTTTAAATTTAATAAAGGCAATGACGTAAATACGACCAAAACTGAATTATATTCATTATTATTATTATCATCGGCTTTATTTAATATTATATTTTTGGTACAATATAGAATTCTCAGCGCAAAGTATTTCAACAAGTTTCCGTTTCTTTCTTCTTGGTCGGTCCTGGCGATAAATATTTAGTGAACGCCAGTTAGATGTTAGCAGTTCACTAAAGGAGCATCTGAATAATGTACATTCTTTTCGTTGTATATTGCCAGCAACCACATTGTCTCTTACTGAGTTCTTTGTGACTTTGACAACGAAAGGTTGTACACTTTTCAGAAACGCAGCAGAATAGGTTATGCGATCAATAAACATAATGATATATTAAAACAAACAAAAGTAGATAACTTGTTGAAATATCTAGATGGCAGGAACAGGTGGCTCAGATGCTCGAGCAGGCCGCCCTTTATGAATTGAGAGAACATATTACTCATCAACATTGCAGATTAATCAGTTAGAACAAATTAGAAAGTGTTTACAAAGTGAACACAAACCATCTTGCGTATGTTTCAGTATGAATTTGTTGAGAAATATAATCATATTGTGTAGTAAATTACCTTATCATTATGATCAAAAAGGACAACTCGACAAAGCGAACTCCGAGTTAAGCATGCCGGGGGGATTTTATGATTTCGCTCGACGCTAGCAGATCTACAAGTACAAGTTGAAAATCAGAACTGATACAGTTTAAACGGTCAATAATTTTTAGTCTTAATACCAAAAGAAACGACAAACATTGTACAAATAAAATATATGACATTTAAGGTGGGAAAGTTTATTGAAGATAAGGTTTCAAGTGCACTACGATCAAATACAGATTCGTGTAATATGACCCTGGAATCACACTTTAGCATGAAGGTTAGTGATATTCTGTTGGTTGAATTTAAGTAGGACTATGGTATAGTCGAACCATACTTAACCTAACCTTCAGTTTTAATTTAATAGGTATTCAAAAATTCAGAAACGATATTATTACTAAAACAAAAAATAGAATTACGTAGGATTTGATACGTAAGGTTTAGTAAACTTAATAAAAAATAACCATGATGAAAATATAAATGTTGACTGGACAAATTCAACTCAATAAACATGGCGATACAATGTGAGTCGAATTTATGTGGATATTAAAGTATGTTTTATATCCTGTTAACTAACTCATTGACACGTTCGTGCACTGTGACAAAACTTTCATTAGTTTGAATTCAATACCATGGATGATAATAATTTATATTCTTTTATCCCCTACCGCTAATTAAAGTAAGAACACCCGTTTTGTAGATGAGTTATTTTTGATGTTCGCTAAGTGTAACCAATGAAAAAAAACATCAAGTCTGCTAATTGTATTATCAATGAATAGTGATTAGAATATTTAAAATGAGTGATTGACGCAATATATTGTGAAAATGAATTGAAACGCCGTGAATTGTTCACACTGAATAACTTACTGTAGTAGTATTTGAACGTGACCGATATTAATTTGCTTTTATTAAGTTGTAATTTGAGGTTACATATCCCCAAAATTTATAGAGAGCGTCAGATGAAAGGTTAACAGATCCTCAGGAAACTTAGCAATAGCAATCAAACTGTATATCAGTAATTAAAAACAAGCTAAGCTATTCGATTTTGAACTAAAAATTTGGATTAACTCTGTGATATTGTTTGGTTGCCCAAATGGAAGAGAAATTCGTATCTATAATTCAGGTACTTTAATAAATAAAACCCCCATTGAAAGTGGTACATGGGATTTCAAGATTAAACATTTAAAAACAATTAACATTTGAAATCTGAGAACCATGATATATTATTTTTATTTATTTCAACACATAAATGTTGGTACGAGAGGACACCAAATATATATGCACCACACCATATTTGTGTGTGTGTGGGCTGTGATACTGCCCGGGTGCCCAAACTGAAGCAGGTGGTTTTCTTATGGGGCCACACCCGAAGCTTTGACCTAAAGTTTTGACCCACAAGGCAGTAGAGCATCGTGAGGAGATGCATTCCAATGGTAACCGGTGACCAACGATTGGTCCATACGCCACCTTTCCCGCAGGATACTGGAGCCCATGTGCACCATTGGTTTGGGATCCGGTTAAAGGGCTGGACATTCGGTTTTCGTCATCTCATTTTCGTAAACAACACCCCTGCAGCGAGAAAACAGCGAGTAGGACTTTCCTGGCAGAGAAAGCATTTCGAGAGGGAGAGAGGACTCTTCCCACTCTCGGCCGTTGTTGCTACCTTGACGTGGTGGTCGGGCTTGCCTATCGTTGAAGCAACCGAGCTATACTGGCTGGAACAACCGTTCCTCAAGGTCCTACCATGTCAGACAGGTCGGTTGAAGAGCGGTAAGACTAAAAGCAACAAACCCAAGGTCCGAAGGCGAAGTCGTACTGCTGACTGTACAGAGGTGTGACAGCAGTAAGGTGTTTCCTTCAGACAACCAGCATGACAGCGATGCTGCCTTCCCACAAGGAGGGGTGGGGTTAGAAAAGGTCGACCCTAAAAATGCACACCTCGCCTTACCTCACGGATTTCCGTCTCCGGCGGTAAGGCCCTTTGAAGAACGGAGCTAACACGTCACAAACCTCTCACGAAAAGGCCGTGCGCGACCGGCCTCAAGCAGTTGTCCCTTGGGCACTGCGGTCACGCTCTCAGGTCACTGAGACCACCTCTAATCCAATTTCCTTTTCAGGTACCTCCAGAACAACCCTTCCACGGTGTGGGCAACCGGGAAGTGATAACCGCCCTCATACCTCTAACAGCACTCAAGACCACTGTATTCATAATCAACCTTCCTCTTCAATTCCTATTATTCCTCCTACATCGACTTTCAACCCTAAACTTCCTTTTCGGCTTCCTCCTCAAGTGTCACCATAGCCAACGATTCTAGTGCTCAAAACCTGTCCCAGGTCTACTGAAACCTCGCTCCAAACTACACATTGGAGCCTTCAACGTACGCACCCTATGTCAAATCGGTCAGCAGGCTTCCTTGGCTAAAACCCTAGAGTCTCTTTCCATTGATGTATGCTGTGTCTCCGAAACACGCATACAGGATTCCAGTGTGGTCATTCACTTGACCTCACCTCGGCAAACGGAGAGCCAACGAGATACACCCTCGTGTATCTGGTGACCCGATGGCCAGTTCTCGTGGACTGGCAGGTGTAGGCATAGCACTAAGCATGAGGGCGAACAAGCACTGCTAGAGTGGATCCCCGTCAACAGTCGTCTATGTGCTGTTCGGCTAAACGGCTCCGTAAGAACTCGGAAGGATAGGGACACACGTCGTTGCCTTTTTGTCGTTTCTGCCTACGCTCCCACTGACTGCAGCTCAGATGAAGTGAAAGATGAATTTTACAGAAAGCTTCTGAACTTCTTCAGAAAGCTAAACGCTCAGACATAGTACTCGTAGGGGGTGACTCAGATAGGTAGTTTAAACCAAACAGAAAGGCATTTAGGTGGATATTTTAGTATTCCGGCACAGCGAACAGATAATGGTGATCGTCTGCTGCAGCTATGCTCAGACAATCGTTTATTTTTAGCAAACACAAATTTTAAGCATAAGGAGAGACATCGTCTAACATGGCGACCCCCTACACCAAACCAACGATGGACTCAAATAGACCATATTGCCATCAGTCATCGTTGGAGAGGGTCGGTAGAAGATTGTCGCTCATTCTGGAGTACCTGCTTGGACTCCGACCATGCCCTAATACGGGCACGCATCTGCTTGCGCCTCACTGGACGCAAAAAAGCCACATTAAAAAGACCCATTAGAACTGAGTTGAGTAACGAGAAAACCAAAAGTAGGTTCCAGGAACAACTGAGGTCACACTTAGGTAGTTCTGAAGACGAGGCTGACCCAGATGTTGCTTGGAAAGCATACAAGCAGCTGTGGAAACAGCAGTGACATCTATTAGTGACTTAAACCACAGAGTTACAAAGAACCAGTGGATTTCTTCAAGGTCTATCACACTGATGGATTCTCGCAAACTCGTCCCATCAGGTTCTGAACATGATGAAGAGCGACAACAAATCAGATCTAGGTTAAGAAAAAGTCTAAGGAACGACCGTGAGCAGTGGTGGGCAACGAAAGCAAAAGAGATGGAAAAGGCGGCGACTATAGGGAACACAAGACAGCTTTACAGACTAATAAAAGAAACTGGAATTAATAAGTCAAGTGTAAGTGAGATTATTTCGGAAAAAGCGATACTCTCATCTGCTCCCAGTCCAGACGTTTAGAACGATGGGCGGAACATTTTAGAGAACAGTTCAGCTGGCCTTCAGCTACTCTACAACTACCCTCCATTCCCAGACAGTGAATGGAACATTGAAGTAGGTCCCCCAACTCTTGCTGAAGTTCAAAAGGCTATAGTTAATCTGAAACGAGGAAGGGCAGCTGGTCCAGATGGACTGGCTCCAGAGGTCTTTAAGGATGGTGGTCCAATTTTAGCGATTAGGTTGACTAATATTTTAGCTAAGATCTGGGAATTAGACGTTATCCCATCTGACTGGTCACAATCACTTATCGTCCCAATATATAAGAAAGGGTCAAAATCATCCTGTGACAACCACAGAGGGATTAGTTTAACAAACATAGTATCTAAAATACTAGCCTCGATAATTATCAGACGCCTAACTAAGACTCGTGAACTGCAAACACGAGAGAACCAAGCTGGCTTTAGACCTGGTCGTGGCTGCATCGACCACATATTCACCATTCGTCAGGTTCTAGAACACAGGCATACTTATCGGCGTCCGACAATGGTGGTCTTTCTTGACTTAAAAGCAGCATTTGACTCTGTAGACCGCGAGATTCTGTGGCAGTGTCTGTCATTGAAAGGCGTACCTCAGAAGTACATAAACCTTGTGAAGGCTCTTTACTCGAACACTACTAGTCGAGTCAGAGCTTATGGCGAACTGTCATCTACCTTTGCAACCTCAAGTGGTGTCCGTCAAGGCTGTCCACTTTCCCATTTTTGTTTAACTTCATCATAGACCTATTGATGGAAATAACACTCTCGTCGACTGAATTCTCGGGTATTGATCTCCTTCCAGGAGGTCCACTTATCGACTTAGAATACGCAGATGACATAGTCCTGTTTGGTGAAGACGCTGACAAAATGCAGAGTCTTCTGGTAGCACTAAGCAACAATGCCAGAATGTTTGGAATGCGCTTCTCTCCCTCTAAATGCAAGTTGTTGCTTCAGGACTGGTCTGCGTCAACACCTGAACTAAGGATAGGGAGTGAAGTAGTCGAACGCGTTGACAACTTCACTTATCTTGGAAGTCTGATCAGCCCTAATGGGTTGGTGTCTGACGAAATCTCAGCACGGATTCGAAAAGCTCGTTTGGCTTTTGCCAACTTACGTCACCCTTGGCGGAGGCGAGATATCCGTCTATCAATAAAAGGACGAGTATACTGCGCGGCAGTCCGTTCTGTTTTACTTTACGGCAGCGAAACATGGCCATTAAGAGTAGAAGACACTCGTAAGCTACTAGTATTTGACCACAGATGCCTTAGAAATATTGCTGGCATCTGCTGGGATCACCGGGTAAGTAATAGTGAGGTTAGACGCAGGGTATTAGGGAATGATGGTAAATCAGTTGATGAGGTTATGAATCTTCATCGACTGAGATGGTTGGGCCACGTGTTACGTATGCCTGAACACCGATTACCACGACGTGCAATGCTATCCGGTATTGGAGATGGTTGGAAGAAAGTTAGGGGCGGCCAAACCAAAACGTGGCATCAGTGCTTGAAGTCAAAAAAAAAAAGTCTGAGCCATGTTGGTAGATGCAGACTACTTGGTTGGGGTCCGCGTGACTATCGTAACCAATGGTTGGAGACTCTTGGTGACATGGCTCAGAATCGATCACAATGGCGTCGGTGTATACACTCCCTGTCTTCCCTTAAACTAAGAGATTAAAATCGCTTCATATCTTTCTTTCTACGAACCAATTCTTTCTTCTTGTATTATATCTCTATATGCAATCTTTCTCTTATATATTACCACCTTTGACATAACCACTGCTATGAATCCGGTGTTCATCTTGTTGTGCTGATGCGGTATGGCAACCTGGACCGATGCACATATGTGCCTGGTCCAACGTTGTAGCTGACTGACTGACTCTCGGCCGTACCAGGGCATTTGGGGGGCGCTGTGTGCTTAGTGAGTTACTCAATTCGGAAACTGTAATCATTGTAATCGATCAACTTATAAGCATTCTTAATGTTATTAAAAACATCATCAATAGAGCTCCCATCATATTGATTGATCCTGTGATATCGTCACCTTTGAATTGAAGTTGAATAAAAATAGGCTTTTTATTTGCTGTAATTTCTTTGGGTTTTTTATCTTCACGTTTGCCACATTTCTCAATAAATTTCAGTGGGTATCCGTTATTCTTTAAACATTTTTTAACATTCATAACTTCCTCTTCTAGTGTATCGGAAGTATATATTCTTTCTGTTCTGTGAAAGTGTTTTGACCAGTGCCTTTTTGTAACTGATCGGACAAAAGCTATTGAAATTGAGATAACTACCATTCCATATGTCTTTCTTATAAACTGCAATGACAAAGACTTATCCTGCAGCGAAATTGATTGTCCTGTCCAAAACAACATGTTCTTAAACACAATCAAAGGTCGATAGGTATCCGTTTCATGTTACCACCAACCGTGTATACAAATTTACATGTATCTCCCAAAGCAGTTACATTGGTAGAACAGAAAGGAGAGCCTACGTCCGATTCAAAGAACATATTCCGAAAAGTTTAAGATTAAATGGATTGAACGCATTTAACAGTGCCATCGCAAGACATCTCCTTGATACAGGACATGAAGTTGATATACTGAAGTCCTTCAAGGTGATTAACAAACAATCAAACTCCAACCTTTTGAAATTTGCCGAAGCAATAGCAATCAAGCGTTTAAAACCAGATCTATGTATACAAAAAGAGACAGTAATAAATCTTTCTTTACCCTGGTAACAATAACCCCTTTATTCATTTATTTCTCTATTTATTTATTGCGTCATTAATCCAACTCTTAAATTACACCATACATAAATGATTGATTTCAATTCATATTTTCTTTATTACCATTAATCTATTTTCATGAGTTCTAATCACTGTTTCAATGTTCTGGAACTTTCCCTTTCTAACTTTATTTATTTATTCGAATCAAACATTTTATGAGCTCATTAACTCTATCTGAATCTTCGCTACATCATGATACACATGTATTGATCCTTAATCACACTCTTGTATAAATATGTCAATATCTGTAATAATTTGAATTTCAAATAATCTAGGTTGTAAGCAGCTGATGAGAACATACGAAATAAAATGAATTCATATCATTCTGCACCAATCTATGTTCTTGCTCTCTGTAAGTACATATTTATTTACCCAAACTTCAGACAAACTGCTTGTGCGCGAACTAGTGAAATTACTCGGCTCCCTAAGTAGAGGTTTATGTAGCACCATTCAGAATTGCAGCAAATAAGTTGGAAGCTGACGGTTTTAACAACTAAGCGAATGTTCTACTGGCTAAGAACCACCACTAGGCCTCATCAGATATTTTTAGTAATTATCTACAAAGCAAGATATACTAGTAACAAGAGAATGGGAATAGATAACATATGCACATAGTAGCATTAGCGACTGATCGATTCGAACCTAAACTCAGAATCCAAAATTTAATCGCAAATATTATTCTGTCCTCAGCCCTCTCTAATTCTAATCGGTCAGTGATCTACAACGTAAGACCACATAAAATTATGCATCGGTCCATATTGCCATACCAACAAAATGAACACCAAATTCATAGAATCAGTTACTTCAATAGTAGCAAAATATCTAAAAAACATTCCATATAAACATAAAATACAGGGAAAAAGAATTAGTTCGTAGAAAGAAGGGTATAAAGTAATTTTAATCTCACGGTTTAAGTGAAGACAAAGAGTGCATACACCTACACCATTGTGATCGATTCTGAGCCATGTCACCCAAAGTCTCCCACAACTAGCTACGACAGTCGCGTGCACCACAACCAAGTAGTTTACATCTACCGACATGGCTCACACTGGAAGTTAATGACTTTATGGACGCCAAATTTCGCTTGGCAGCCCTAACGTTTTTCAACCATCTCCAAAGCTAGTCAGCATTGCTCACCGTGGTAGTCGGTGATTAGGCATGTGTAATACGTAGCCTAACCATCTCAGTTGATGTAGATTCACAACCTCATCAACGAATTTACCATCATTCCCTAATACCATGCGTCTAACCTCATTATTGCTTACCCGGTGATCCCAGCAGATGCAAGCTATATTTCTAAGACATCTGTGATCAAAACTCTAGTAGCTTACGAGTATCTTCTACCATTAATGGACACGTTTCGTAGCCGTAAAGTAAAACAGAACGAACTGTCGCGCAGTATACTCGTCCTTTAGTTGATAGACGCCTTCTCCATTGGTGATGTAAGTTGACAAAAACCAAACGAGCTTTCTGAAACAATGAAGAGGCTTTGCCACACACCATTAGTGCTGATCAGACCCTCTGGTTCAAATCACCAATAGATATCGCTGTCGTTTTCACGGCTGTCCCTACATTTTTACGAGCAACACCTGGTTCAGCCTCGTTATCGGAATTGCCTAAGTGTGACTTCAGTTGTTTCTGGAATTTGCTTTTGCCCTACTCATCGCTGAAATCAATTCTAGTGGATTTACTTAATGTGGCTTTTCTGTATTCAATGGGGAGCAAGCAAGTGAGTACTTGTTTTAGAACAGTCAGCATCTAGATATGTATTCCAGAACAAGCCAGTCTTCTGAGTCATTGTTAACTGTTTGTCTCTTCTGAAAATTTTTTATCTTCATCAAGTCGACATTTATCATCCATAATTCTTATATATGATTTACTGCTTCTCATTACCATTTGAATAATCACAATGTAAAAATTTAGATAACTGAATTCTTTAAATGTCTGTTATTCAGTAGTTGAATTCGTGAGTCAGTTGAAGCTAAACCACCATGGAAAACCTGGATGCACTGAACGGCTGGTTCGTCCCAGTAGGGGACTCCTCGAAACGGCGCATTCACGATGCTACTCGCGGGACTCGAATACAGGACCTACTGATCTCGCGCAAAGGCCTAACATTTAGACCACTCTGTAATTGATGAAATACTATTATTTCTTGAATAACTATAAAAACACGAATAAACAACTTTAATCAATGAAATAATATACATATTAGAGATCCAAAAATTTATTATTAGGCTTACTCTAAACACTGATCGATCAATTACTGCACAACCGGTGTACCGGACACATTGAGTTTTAGAATCTACAGATATTGAGTAACCTACTTAAAACCCTTATCATAAAAGGGTGTATTTTTAAATGACTTTCATGTTTTTCGTTCAAGTATTTTTTAAAAAGTAAAGTGTTACTTACCAAAACATAATACACGTTTTGTTTGTCGTTTGTTAACTAGCCGATTTAAGCTCATTTGGAAACTGTGTACCTAATTCACTCTTCATGAGCAACCATCAATATGATTCTTAAAGTAAAACTGTGCTACAGCAACCTTGGTAGGCATGTTAACCGTTTTAAAACAATGTAGAGACTCTAGATCACGCTATTACCTTTTCATATCAGGTCATTATTCCATACTCCAGACCAGACAAATAGTACAAAATGTTTCCAAGCGCACAGTAGACATCACTTATTTTCAATATTCTATATAAAAGTGGTATTATTATATATAAATTGATGAAAGATACATGATTTTTAATTATTATTTGGATGATTTCAGTCATTGATATTGATGAAAATGTTTAAATCAATCAAATTCCAAAGTCTTTTACTGAAAGAATTTATATGGGTTACATGGGACCAAATTTTATGTACATGTCAAATATGAGGTTTGTTTTATCATTATACCGACTACCTGAGAACAACAAACAAATGACTGAACTAAAGTCCCGTAAAACTAGGAAGTTAACGAACATAACCAGTACCATTTTATGACTGTTGGTTAAGTAACAACAATATACTTACATTCTACTCTGTATACGTTCGAGCAGAGCTTTCGTATAAACATTATTTTCAGCTTCCTGATAGTCCTTAGCCCAAGCTGCACCAAGAGGATTAGTTCGAGCGTCAAAACGACGCTTCGTTGAATTGGAGCCATCGGAAAACAGAACTCTTCTACAGATAAAAAGAAATCGAATACAATAAACAAAAAAACAAACAACACAAAAACTATTGAACAAGACCACTTAAGTGTTAGGAACATGTTACATGTAATTGTAACTTATCACTTCTTCACAATTTACACACACCTTAAGCTTTCTGTAACTGTATTCAATGCCGAATAAGCGTAACAAGATGAAAGATAATCTTTCAGCTGCTTTGCGAGCAGATGTATTAGTAATTTTAATTATTCTACAAAAGCTAGTTACCAAAACCATTTAGGTGTTAGACATATCGATTGTTGGATCCGTGTACAAACCAAAATGTAATCGCATAATAAAAATAGGAACATTAAGCTATTTGGTTGACACAAACAATGATGATTGTAATACAGCGCTTAACATCTAACACGCATCGTAAATTCCATAGAAATCTATATTGATGGACTGAATCTTCATGTAAATGTGGCATTATTACCATTTTGTCGCTAGAGTCAATCAGTAACCAATTTTGAATAAAACAATACGATGTTGACTATTACTCAGTGGTCAAACGGTGTTATTAGTTTATCTTATTGCATTACACTTCGATTAGATTTCGTATTTTTTCACACTTGTTTTCTCAGAAATAAAACTGAATGATTACTTCTTGTTCAAAATACTGAAACGGCAAACTATTTTGGCAAATAAGCAAAGATGGATAGTGGCTAGCAGTGGAATCCAGGACGCGCGTTCGTCCCATTTGGGACTCATCAGTTGGATGTACCTGCATCTCAAAGTTGGTGTTCACACTGGGACTCGAAACCATTACCACTCGCTTCAAACGCCATCAGCAGCTGAGTGGATATCGCGACGGCGTTTGAAGCGAGTGGTAATGGTTTCGAGTCCCAGTGTGAACACCAACTCTGAGATGCAGGTGCATCCAGCTGATGAGTCCCAAATGGGACGAACGCGCGTCCTGGATTCCACTGCTAGCCACTATCCATCTTTGCTTATAAAGCTTGTGAATTAAAGCAATATCGAGGCAATACACACAGTATGTACATATGCCAATAACAGACTGATCAATTGCAGTCTTAAACGTCAATGGGGTGATTCAAGCAAAACAATACCAAGTGTATTTTGGCAAATATTTACTTTTTGGTGATTTCAGTAATCATGAGACAAATATTTTAAGGACTTGATATTTAAAATCAGATTAACAACTGATTTCACACTTAAGGTCAACATAACTACCGTGCCATGTTGTAGCATGGACATTATCATACACATTCTTATCAATCAGTAATCATACTTTAGATGCTTCCAATAAGCTGGCAAGTGATTCCTACCATTAATGGATAACAAACGTGTAAATACATAAAATAAATGATGAAAAAAATGATTACCCTTATTCTACATTTCAGTGATATACATCAAAAAATGTTTATCTACTATGCAATAAATATTCAGTATTACTCAGACTACTTCAATGTGTGGGAGCGTAATATCCCAGAATGAAGAATTATTAAGAACATTTGATATTATTATAAACTCATACATTGGTCAGAGTACAACACAGGTGTAATCATAAAAATGACCTGTTCAATTCAACATTTCTTTTAGTAATTAAATATGAATATTATGCAAAAAGTTAGTGTTAGGATTTCAAAGTTACAGAAATGATAGTGAAACAGCATTAAAAAAACTTCCTGAGCGTTTCAAACATTAAAACTTATAGCAGATGTAGAGACTAAAACCGATGAATTCCACTTTCAACTGAAAACTTCCTTCAGTTTACTGAAAAAATAGAGTAAATAAATGCAGTATGAGTTACCTGACTTTATTAGTTGAACGATCAATACCTAGTCTGTGACGACGTGGACTGCCTTCTACACCTGAAGAACTACTGTATCCAGAACCAGGTGTAAGCGTGCCACCAGGTGTACTTGTGGGAGTGACAGGAGTGAGTGGTAAAGTCCCTGGTTTCATTGGAGTATTTGACGGTGTGCTCGAAGGTGTTACATCTACAGAAGATGACTCATCACCACTATTTGGTAAAATAACGGTAGTGTTGGAATTTTGTTCAGAAGACGAATCGGCTGCGGCAACTTCTGTGTCATTATCTGGAAAAGTAAGCATGAATAAGAGAAAGTAATTTAATAGAACCAAAGTTCTCAATGGAACAAATTGAGGTGATTCCTTGAAAACGGAGAAATGTTTCGAGGAACAACTCGTAAACTACACTAAACAAACGTTATTATTTATTTATTTTAACACATAGATATTGGTACAAAGAGGCACCAAATATATATGCGCCACACTAATCTCATTTGATGTCTGAGGGCTGTGATACTGCCCGGGTGCCCAAATCGAAGCGATTAGGGATTACATGCATATTCAAAACAAACGAAGACTGGTTTCAAAATCCTAAAAAAACGAACACAGGTTTAGAAAGATAAGTTAAAGAACAACTTGTCATGTATTATGAGAGGAATAACGAATTATGCAGAAATATGAAACAAATAAATATAAAATAATGCTACTAAAATATGTGTGGTCAAACATCGTCTACACAGTTTCAACTAACGCGGAATACAGGCTTTGTGGAGACATGTATACGAGAAATAGAGACAACGATACAGATAGTACTAAATTACAACATTAACAAGACAACAAATCAAAAAGAGAGTGAAATCACTTACACGATGTAGAAGTTAGGTCTTGCTTCCGCTTGGATGCTCTTGGAGGAGATGGCATTCTCAAATTGACATCTGTATCACCATGATGCCTGCGACCAGAACGAGAAATTTCGTTCTATGTAAGGAAATACAGAATTGTCTCACGAGTAATGAAAACTTCAACGGAAAATGAAAGTTCACGCTTAAAGAAACATGTTTTTTACATACCGAATATATAATCTCCAAGAAAGCACCGAATGTATGTAATTAATTAAAAATCAGAAAGTAGTAATACTAAATAACAAAATATACATGAATGAGATGTAATTTAAGGGGTACAGATTTATATACCCAGGCCTTTGAGCCTGTGACCTAATGGTTAAAAGTTGAACGTCTCGGCAACTACTGTCACCACTCCACAGAACAATAACAGGGTGCAGTGTATACACATAGCATACAACCGAAAAACCAAACATACTGAATTTACAGAATTTTAGAATGTTTATGTGTGATTGAAATTTCAAAATTCTACACTAGTAATCAGAAAATATTGCTATCAAAATTATTCGCCTATTTTTTTGCACATAATATATGATCACACTACGGTTGAGTACCAGTAGGGTACATCAGTTTCAAAACCAAACCCATAGTGAACATTTGGTCAATAACATACGCAGTCAGATACTTAATGTCTAGTTTTCTATAATTTTTGTTTCAAAACAGTACTTGGGCTTCGGCTGATCATCGAAACTAATATCTTGTACTGTATTAGTCAGAACTTTTTCTCTGTAGTTACTACAAGAGGATTTCTGTCTTTTCTTAAAACTAAGACGACAGACTATCGAGATATGTCAGATAAAACTGCGTCCAACTATTAGGTTTAATCAAAAATTTTCATTCATCTAACTGACAGCATTCAACCACCATTGCTAAAAATAATTAGAGTTAAACACCAGAATATGGTACTGTCACCTGTTTAAAGTTAAATGAGGCTATTATTGACTAAGTTGATGTTAATGAACATTAGATTTTATGAAAAACTTACATGTTAACGTAAGTTACAAACTGAAAAGACAAATACTACCATAAACTAAAATAACAGGAAGTATGTGATTTCAGTGTTTTTCTCCAAGTTCTAGAAACCCTACAAAAACAAGACTTTAAACAGTTAATCAGTTTTCCTAATAAGATTTCATATTAGTCATTCGACATTTTTAATTTTGTTTCCTTATCATTTAAATTGTTCCTAGCCTCACCAATTTTTCCCAATTCACAGACGACCAACCAGAACGTCCAGTAGTATCATGTTCTTTTACAACAGAGTGACCAGACCAAGACCCAGAAAACGTAGAACCATCAGCATCCAGTTTGCAGTTATTCGACAAAAGACCCAATCTTTTCGCTCTATCAGCAGCAACTTCTACATACTGAGCTCCAATGTTCCCATCAGAAGATTGAGTCAATTTTATTGACGAATTATTAGCAGCATCAATAAAATTCGTAGTATCATCATTTAGAGCAACACAATCCTTGTTTGCACTGGCATTTGTTGTTGTGTCCGATGATTGGTTAGATGTACCTTGAAATTCAGTATTTTCATTTCCACATACATTGCAGGTATATCCATCACTCAATCGAGGCATAGTAACATTGTAATATGACTCCATACACTGCACATGTTGACAAGTACTAAAGTAAAACATTCAATAAAAAAGATAAAAATAACACAAAGGAAACTCTTCAATCAAATGAAAAACATTCAACAATTGGCTTGTAAATTACTGGATGTTTATCACATCAATTTTGCTTGATTATAAATCGATAGCTAATTATTTACATAAAGTGAAGAGGAAATGAAATAGACAAATTTGTTATTGTAGCACAGCTAAAACAGATTACTGTTTGATAATACGATGCTAAATCACATACTAAGATTGCTTAAAAGTAAAATGATAAATAAGTGCTTATGGAAACTAATTACTGAAATTAAGAGCAATTTCGCGTCACACATTTCGATATGTAAATAGTGGGTGCATTAGTTTAAGCCGGGAAACTTGCTTTTCATTAATACGTTTCTTTTTATCATATGAACGACATATTTTACGATGACTTGTACAAATTGTATCAAGACAGATATACTACATTGTGTCGATTAAATCATTACCACTTGATTCGACGACGTGCGAAAACTTTTATGTTGTTTGAATAGATAATACATCAATAGTATTCATTTAATGTAAAAGTTTTGTAAACTATTATTAGGAAACTAAATTTTCCAGACCACACAATATTAACTGAGATGAAAGTTTTACAACCGTGATGCTATTCAGGGAACATTCAAAATGTTTAGTAATCGCAAAAATAATTTTATTTGTCGCTTTATGTGATACATTTGATCAAACTTGAACAATTTCTCTAAGATTTATCCGCATATTACCAACCAGCAGAGGAATACTAACAAGATATCCAGACCAATTTCCGCTTCACAAACTACTGGATAACTTCAAAATATAGAAGGCACCTGAACAAATGCTATTCTAATAAACGTGAATTTTAACAAAGGAAAAAATTAAAAAAAACTACATAATACCGAACAAAGTGAACTTCAGAGTTAACGTTTTAGGTTAGTTAGACCATATCACTAGAATGTCGGTAAAACAAAATAGTAAAACAGTAAGCTTCAAATCACGCATATTTATTTCAGTATTTTGTCAACGTCACTCATTTGACCAACTACAGGTTAAAATAACCAATGGCTGAAAGCTGAAAGGTGTAACTAGTCACTCAATCACTGTTTTACATCTTTCAATAATAAGATTTTATGCTCATTTGAAAAATATAAAGACCAGACAAACCTGCATTTGGGACATCGTATAAGTCCGGATTTAGGTTGAGAGTGACCACATACACAGCGGACATCAGCCCATACATTATTACCGACCCAAGCGTTATCAACAGCCGGCTGAATATATGAGCCATCGGAAGAAGGAATAACGATCTGAAATACAAATTTAAGGGACGTTGATGCAAAAACATTTATTTTGTTCATTGTTTTAAAAAAGTAACTTATGATTGGTATTTTCTCCAGCTGGAAAGTAGTCAATTTTAGATAACACCAAGCGTGAACGATAGTATGAATGTTGGACGACAAAAGAAACAATAATTAGACACCGCTCTATTAATACATTTAGCGCAAATTTAAAAATTCAACCTAAGTAACAAAAGCAACATTGTATGAAGTCATTAATTCGACTAGTACTCATCGGTCGACAAAAGTCCTAAAGAAATAGATCAACTACTCTGCGTAAACGCTAACAAGGTATAGTTTGCTACTTGGTTACAGAAGGGTAATTAAATAATCAGAGAATTTACGACATTGTATGTGCATTTGCAAGTAGTAAACAACTCAGAGTAAGTAACAGCAGTGATAATCAACACATTGCTTGATCTGAGAAAGATAGAGAATGCACAATAAGGAAATGTACATCAAATTTTATTGGTTTGTTGAAAATGACTTGAATGTCTGCCACAAGATTAAACTCATATGCTTGAAAATATTTTACCTACAAACTCTTAGATATAATACAGCTAGTTGGCTAACCTATTTTATCCAAACAAATTCCAGTTACTTAACATGAAAATGCTCCACCTAGATTTAAGTCCACCTACAGTTTTAAGAGCTCTTAGGTAGCTTCAAATTATGTTGAATGAAAAGAATCATGGTTAAGCAATCTCAGTGGCCATGTGATCACGTCTGATGTAAAATGTAATCATTAATAAACTGTATTACCATAACAAATTGCAAAAGTGACATACTGAAATAGTGTATGAATCGTAAAAAAATAAGATTACCTTTGCAATATAATCCACTTCTGATGTGTCACTATCCAAATCACTTAACTGAGAAGGTGAAACTGCAAGTTCTTCGGGCACTTCAATGACCTACAAGATGTAAAAGCTCATGATTATTAACGAATCGCCTACTTACTGCAAGCTTTAAGTAGTATCGTAACGATTCACGACATATTAAGTAGGAACTTAGTTATCGCCACAGTTTGGAAGTAGACACCCGTTCCATAATGAAGCAGTGATCACACACCTATCTGTAATTACTATGCCTCAGATGTGGATTCCATACGTTTTATGTTTGAGCAACCGATGCACTAAAGAAGGATATGAACATTATGACTCGTCTGAACAGTCGAGCTTAAATGTTCGTTAGGTTTGACTGTTATTCCCATTATCACGAAATTTCACATATACATCTATTCCTTTAGGAATTACACTTTCCATTTCAGCTTTTCACGCGTAGACCATTCTAGAAATTTTCATTTTTTATTTATATTTTTATTTGAATACAAATATTGGTACAAGAGGGCACCAAATATATATGCACCATACAAAGCAATGAGAATTCGAAGAGAGAAAGAAAGGAGGTAAGGAGCGTAAAAAAAGAACGGATTAGTGTAAAGTAGTGTAATAATAATAATCATAATAATAATAATAACGGGGAAAACGGAAAAGTACGGTCCGAAGAAATCTTTCAGGTAAGGAAGAAACAACCATTTTTTATGAAAAAAGCAAAAGAAGATTACAACAGGATCGCCACTGGCTTCTATTCTGAGCCATATCTGATAACGTCTCTAGCCACTGTGTAGCACCATCTCTAGGACCCCAACCAGGGAGTCGTGAAGGACCAACACAAGCCAGTCCTTTGCAGCTTTCTTTCATACCACGACACCATGTCATGCACTGACCACCTCTCCGCTTCTTCCAACCAGTCCCAGAGTCGGCAAATAATGCACGACGTGGAATTCTCTGGGACGACATTCGTAGAACATGTCCAAGCCACCGAAGTCGGTGTTTCAAGATGGTGACACCAATTGATTATCATCTCTGTGCCCGAACACACGATGCCGAACCTCTGCATTACTGACATGGTGTTGCCACTGAATGTCAGCAATCCTTCGGAGACAGCGATGATCGAACACAGAGAGTCGTCTAACGTCCTCAACTCGGAGAGGCCAGGTTTCACAAGCATAGAGCAAAACTGCTCTCACCGACGCGTTGTAGATCCGACCTTTTACAGCCAGACTAACATCACGAAGGCGCCAAAATGGCCCAGATTGGCATAAGCCGCTCTGGCTTTCACTATACGTGCATTGATCTCATCACTCACACCCCCACCAGCACTTATGCAGCTACCCAGATACACGAACTTCTCGACTACGTCTATCTGCTCACCATCCAGGGTGAGTACAGGATTGGAATCCTGCCAGTCTTGTAGAAGTACTTTGCACTTCGAAGGTGCAAAGCACATACCATACCTACGGACACTGATTGCCAACTGATTAAGTGCGGATTGCATGGCTTGGGCATTATCGCGTACTCAAGGTCGAGAAGTCTTTCTCCAGGCAACAGATCCACACCACCATTACTTACATTCATCAGAGCTGTTTCCAGAATGTCATCGATGGCAAAGTTGAAGAGGAATGGTGAGATTGGGCAACCCTGCCTAACCCCACTGCTCGAATGGAACAATGGAGAGAGGTGGTTGTATGCCCTCACTCTGCCTGAGGTGTTTTATATAGGGCTTTTAGGATGTTAATAAACTTCTCAGGCACACCCTTCTTCAATAGACAATCCCAGAGAACAGTCCTGTCCAACGAATCGAAGGCAGCCCTGATGTCAAGAAACACTACGATTGTTGGCCTTTGATAAGTATGGCGGTGTTCTAACATTTGGCGGAGGGTGAAGATATGATCAATACATCCTCGACCAGAACGAAACCCAGCCTGCTCCTCGCGAGTCAATCTTTCTCGGGTTTTGAACAACCTACGAAGTATGACGGAAGCCAATAGCTTGGACGCAATCGGAAGTAGACTTATCCCCCGATAGTTGTTACAGGAACGACGTGAACCCTTTTTAAAGATAGGGACAACTATCGACTCATTCCATGACGTTGGTACACTCTCTAGTTCCCAAACCTTTGTAAACAACGTCGTCAATTCCTTAGTCAAAAAGTCACCACCATCTTTAAAAAGAGCCGGAGGTAAGTCATCTGGGCCAGGTGATTTGTAACGCTTCAAGAGTTGGAGTTCCTTGCGGACTTCCTCCTCGTTTGGTGGATCAGTCGTCACCGGCCATGGAGGGCAGGACAGTCTGACCGATGTTGCCGGAGCAGCAGGCCAGTTGAACTGCCCTTCGAAAAATTCTGCCCATCGTCCAAGACGTCGATGGATGTTAGTGATTGGCATCCCATCATCCTCGCAGATTGTTTCACTCACACCAGACTTCTTGCTGCCAGTGGCTCGGATGAGTTGGAAGAGCTTCCGGTAGTTACCAGATGCAGCTGCTGCTTCCAGCTCATTAGCACGCTCGACCACCAGGCTTCTCGGTCCTTACGCAAGCTTTGCCCAATTTCCTTACGTAACATCCTTCGTTTATGGTCAAACTCACGGTCACCCGGAGTAGACCGACGGGCTTCAATGAGTTGTAAGGAACCAGAAGAAACCCAGTGCTTAAAGCGGGACGTTTCGCAAACCCACAACTGACTGTTCCCGCCATTTTCATGGCGTCATGCAATTGCAACCAATGCTCATCTATACTTTTCGGTGGAGTGGTAGCTAGCCTAGAGGCTAGCTCGGTTCGATACTTACTTGCAACAGAAGTTGCAACCAGCTTGCTAACATCAATCCGTTGGTGGCGGTCACTTCGTTGGCCACTGAAAAGTAAGGTAAGATTGGCGCAGACCAAGGCATGGTCAGAGTCCAGATAGGTACTCCAAAAGGAGCGGCAGTCTTGTACACAACCACGCCAGCGGTAGCTGATCGCGATGTGATCAATCTGAGTCCAGGCTTGAGATGCAGAGGGAGGACGCCAGGTGGCACATCGGCGATGACTGTGCCGAAAGTTAGTGCTAGCCAGAAACAGGTTGTGGTCTGTGCACAGTTGCAGTAGACGGTCCCCGTTATCTGACCTGCGACCAACAAGTCCCCATCGGCCACCTAAACGACTCTCTTCTGTGCCTAGACGCCCGACCTGAGCATTCAAGTCTCCGGCTAGTACTACAATATCTGTCGAACGCACTTTCTGGAGAAGAACAGATAACTGGTGGTAAAACTCATCCTTGATTGCATCCGGGCTGCAATCTGTCGGGGCATAGGCGGAGATGACGAAAAGACATCGTTTCTCACGCCGATTTCTTCTCACTTTGATGGAACTTTCTAATCTAGAAAGGGTAGCCCCAAATGCCCTTTCTAAAAAGCTTACTTGCTGACCAGCAATTGGCTTAGAAAATAGTTGTTTGGCGATGAAATTTACGAATCATATTAGCTTAAAGACCTTGTATAACAATGTAAGGAAGTTCGAGATCTATTCCTATCAGTCTAAATGTAAAATGTAGCTTCAAGACAAGTCACCATCAATGCCGTTTGACCATACCATAGACAGTGAAGTAGATGAGATCATTGACCGCTTTGACTATCTTGAGAGTTTCATCAGTTAAGATGTTGCTATCTGACGGAATTTTGACATGGATGAATTTTGCTTAGGATTTTCCCGTTTGCACCACTTACAGTTTAGGTGAAACATCCGTATGAATATTCGAGAGCAAGTGTACTTTTCGGCAGTACGCTCTATTTGACCATAGTACTTTTTAAGGATTGATGGCATATAATGGAGCAACGGAATGTGCAATAATGAAATCGGACTTGGAATACTAGGTAAAGATGCTAAGTAGATCGCTTTCGACTAAGTTGAGCGGAAGATGTGTAAGTATTTCTGATCGTCGGTTACCCTGACGCGCAATGTTGGTTGGAATAGGATCAAATTTAAGAAAACCCGAGGTGATGTTTGCCCATGAAGTTATTGACTAATGATAAGTTCAAACTACTTGATTAGCCTAGGTGTGGTAACCGTGACTAGTGACTAAACGTTGGTTAAAATGACTCAGAACCGGTCACAGTAGTGCAAATACACTTACTCTTTAACATCTTGATCTTGAATCCCAATATTCCTTTATTCTTAACTTCTGATTTTGTCTTATTGAACCAGTTTAATGTTTAGTATTCCGTATTGTCGATGCTAGTCCCACTATTTCAACTTCCTCTCTGTTCATTGCATTAATTTCATATCTTGCTGATTAAATGGTGACAACTTAGGCTAACGCGCAACTACGCAAGGTCTTACGATAACTATGATTGACTGAAATTAATACCTTTGTTATACCGACTAGTTTTCTTTCCTTGTTATCAAAGTAATATATCAGCACTGAATTTTAGTAACTTGAATAAATGCACAGTTTTGCCTTGTAGTACGTTGAGTAGGATTGACATGGGGTCCCTGTCTTCCTTATCACTAATTATTTCCCAGTACCGAGACTTTATAAGGAATCCGAAGGTGGTCAAGTACATAAATGCAACTGTAAATCAAAAAAGATATTAGTTTTGTTCTTGTATTTTAATACCACCGTTTTCTTTCTCATTAAATAAGTTCCTGATCCATTTCATAATTGCCTATTTGTCTTATATTGAGTACTACGCAGTATATAAATGAAATTTAGACCATAAGCTCACTATGTAATAAGAATGGTGAAAGGAATCATTTTTTTATCTAGAAATCCAAATAAACACTGATCGTTTATTCTGGAAACTAACTAGGCGTATGTCAATATTAGTTGCGTAAACAGCTCAAAACCGATGGTGTTAAGCGAACATAATCAAAGCTAGCGAAAACACATAAAACATTCATTCTAATCTTCATAATTCTACAAAATTAAGCATTGTGAAGTGCACAGCATATGAACGTTCGTGAAAATATATTAACTCAACATACCTTCAACTCAGGTTCACACCGTAACTCCATTTGTTCATAATTGGAAATTTGTGAGCCAAATCGTGAAGGTATATACTGATCCTTCGAATCACTATCCGCCAACGATTTGTCATCGAGATCTATGGATTTAGAATACCATAGTCCACTAGAGTGCTTTTTACCATCACTGCTGTACATACCATTCCCTTCGAGTGTGGAGCGTTTAAAAGCAAGTGAACTTTGCCTATCGAAACGCTTATCAATATTATGTTTTTGCCCATTATCTTCAGCCCCTAATTTACAGCCTGACTTTTGGGTAAACAAATTTTTCGAGCAGAGATTGTTCAGCTTTGTATCTGAAAAATTTATTTTTCGGCACTTGAAGATCCATTAAATGGGGTGCCATTGAGGGAGGAGTTAATCCTGAAGGAAGGGCGTAATTATGATCGTTATACTTCAGGCCAAATGAACAAATAGTTGGACCAAATGAAAGTGATGTATCCGGATACATCGTTTCAAAATCTTCCTCACTAACAAATAGAACAAAAAATAAATAACTTGATATATGGTATGGTTATGGACAGTTTAGTCAGCCAGTCGAACAAAACGTAGAACGGGTACATGTGTACAAGCATTGAAATTGACATACCTCATTCGCACGACGAGATGAAATTGTCAGAGCAAATACCAGGGTAGTAGCGGTATCAACAGTGTTGATAGTAATAGAAAAGATAAGCATCGAAGAAGTGATCCAGGGAAATATGGAGTTATGGAATAAAAACAATTAACAGGATAATTTACAAACTAAAGATCTAAGGGGAAGCAAAGAGTGAGTGCACATTTCAGAAGTTTTCTAGTCGTCATCCAAGTCTCTAATCATTGGTCACGATAATTACGAGGACTCCAACCAGATAGTCTGTACCCTCCTATATAAACTTAACGGAAACATGTATGAATATTAGGGATTAAGCAGTTACACTTCCTTGACAGCTATTGCTGGAAAGAATCCTCCTCAGACTGATTATAGGTAATCTAAAATCTGTCCTAACGTACTGCTATTATAATCTGGGTTAAACATCCTTAAGACTAAAGAATAAATGGCTTAGGTCATTGGTAAACAAACTTAAATTCCAGAACTCAGTGTAGACTTAGTCAGTATACCCCAAACAATTTCTAATATCTGTTAAGTATTTGCAAGATTGTTATACTCAAGCTACGAAAGAGTCATGTGGCTGCAGAGCAAGTTAGCTTACTCAAATCCTTTCGCGAATCACATCACTTCAGTGGATATTAAAACGTGTCCTCAAGAAAAATGCAAGAATTTCTGAAAGGGTTACGCAGAAACTGAGGTGAAAGCACGTTCCTAAGGACAGGACTGTTACCAACTTGATGGGAAAAGGATAAATCATGCCCAGGTGGTTTGCTTCGTGTAGAATAGTCCAGGATCACACAAGTGGGTATTAAGCTCTAGCCTAAGGGGCACATTTACTGGTATTACAAACAACCCGTCTTAGCTATCTCGAGAACTACCTATAAGTGAAACTTGTCTCCTAGTCTTTGACTTAATTTGTTGGATAACTAGGATACCTAACGACATTATCCAATTACATTTATATAAGCAAGACAAAACACGATCGCTCTCATATGAAAGCATTCCTTAGAAATTGAAGTGGGACATGGGTGTATTCCGTGTACATTTCAATAACTTACTCTCCTTTAAGCTCTACACAAGCAGTTAGTTCAAACATTGGTCCAACGAGACGAATACCACTTTCAGGATCTGCGTTGCAATATTTTTTCTGTGCAGATTGAAAAAACGAACTGTAGTTGTGCGACGGACGGCCATCAGCACCTCGAGACAAATAGGTTGTCCTCCTTCTAATGTCCATATTTACAATAGTTTTGTACAAGCGATATAAGAGGATTATGGATTAATGATAGTGGAAAAACAGCTGCCAAGCATAGTGAGGAGACGTCCACAAGTCGATAGTCGCGCACTGTACCTAGCTATTGTGCAGATTGGATGCAGACAAACACTAACTTCTAAACACTTTTACCACCCATATAGAGAATGTTTGACGAAATTTATTATACAAAAACTCTATTCCAATACTTCTACCCTAAACAAAGAGGATATCGTATTCTGTTTTTTTTATTAATTGTAGGTTAGTTGTACAACATAGATAGTTATGGTATAATTTGTTTGTCTGTGATGTTTAAGTATTATTGTGTGTGTACGTAATCTGATGTTGTTTTGTATTTATATTTTAGACCAGCTTCAATGTGACCTACGCGCTCGTTTCAAAAAGGGCAGTGTTTTTTGTACTTGTTGTGATTATACTTGCTTTGGGTACTTATTGCACCAAAAAGCATTCTTGGTCTACTTTAACTGAAAGTTCTTTGGTTAAAGTTTGAAAGTTTTTGCTAAATTTTGTCCTAGGTAACTTTTTTTACTCCTAGACTAACACTTGTGTTCACATTGTGATCATTGTGTTTTTAAACCTTTTAAATCTAATTACAATGGTTGGTAAGACTCGTAAATGTGGGCAAACAAATTGTTTGTTCCCCGTTGAGGAGGGAATGCAGTGTGATGACTGTAAAAAGTGGTACCACAAAACGTGTACACGCCTAAGTCCGATGGCATACAAAAGATGCTCGAAGCCTAATTCTCATTGGCTTTGTATGTTCTGCTGCACGGATGAAAAGGTACTAACTCAGGAGGCTATGGGCCTATTGGCTTTGGCCTGCAAGAAAAACGATGACACATGCGCTGTCAACACCGGCACTGACAGTGACAGAAAATGACGCAGGTATTCAGTGTTTGACAACGCTTTTACCAGCAATACCTTCTAATATAATTTGTACCCACCGAGAGGAATCAAAAGACAGAGTCGAGGAGATCGGAAGAGTATATTTGGCGATGACAAATATATCGGAATTCTTTGATCTAATCTGGCTAGCGATTGCAGTAGCAGTTGAGCATGGCGTTACCATACGCGATCTGGTGCGGATGCCTGACCGAGCGCCTCCAGATAGATGAGTCCACTAAAACATATGGTCAGCATACAATGTCGAAAACGTACAGGGCTATTTATCTTGTGGATTTATTTACCGCTACATGACGATTGTGTCAGTGTAGTACCTGCTGTTACGCGACGCTGCAAACAACAGACTCTGACCGACGCAAAAGTGAGACCGTCGTTAACATTAAAAAGGGGAGTAATACCACCTGTTACTGACATTGATAACAATGCACTTTTAGTGGGAACCGACGAACTGGATAAAACCATCACCGTTCCAAATAGTCCCAATGTCCTGAGGGATGAAAAATGGACTACGGTACGTAGGAAATGAAACAAAAGGAAAAAAGCTGTAGGCAGTATACAGGTAGTTAGTAACACACCGATGGAATCTCATTGTGAGTCACATGCGGCACTACCAAAATCTGATGGTAAGAGTGAAACCCATGCTGGCGTGACTGAGAAGAAAAATCATATAACAGCAAAAACTAATGACTGTTTACCTGATAAGTCCTTGGTGGACTCGCAGACAATCCACCAAAGCTACAAAGCAAAGCTTCGTCTAACATTTTTGTAAGTCACTCGCTTGGCTCCCATGACTCTGTTACAATAAAAACTAATCGTAAGATACCAGTAGTTTATATGCAGGGTCTGACATTACGATCGAAAGCCGTGAACACGATTTCAAAGGAAGCTAAACCCCTTTCCGGTTTAATTATTTGGAATCTAAGAGGGTCAAAAGATAAAGACCCTGCTAAAAGACATGAACACGATCTGTAGTTATTAGAATCTGTGATAAGAAATGTACTACCTGAAGAGGTTTCAGTGGTAAATATTACAACAGTAATACGACTCGGTAAATGGGTCGGAGGCGAGACCCAACCAAGAAGAATCTTGAAGCTGGTTCTTGGGAGTTTCGAAGAAAGAGACATATTATTGAAAAACTCACAAGAAAAAATCGTGATTCAAATATTCGTATCCCATCAGATTGGCCGCTTGATGATCGAATCGAGTGGAAGAATGCTCTTACGAAATTGAGGACTCGCAAATTAAATGGCGAAAATAACCTTACCATTAAGGGTTTTCGGGTAGTCAGGTCTTGGAAGCCAATGCTTCCGAGGCCTGTATGGGTAGAACGATTGATTGCCAAAACACCTTAAGCGTGTGCTACACGAACGCCCGTAGTCTTCGAAATAAAACGTCCGAGCTAAGTCTGATGGTGGAAGAATTATGCCCCGTTACAATCGTTGTTACAGAAACTTGGTTCAGAGTAGATATAGACTGTTCTCCGTTCATTGCAGGCTATATCTGTATTAAAAGTGATAGAGTTTCAAGTCGCAAAGGGGGAGGTATAATATTATACGTTATGGATCACTTTCGTATACAATTAACAACATCGGAGGCTCATATCAGTGGCACATGTGAGGTTGCATGTTGTAAGATTAAATCTAGAAATGGGTTAGTGACTATAGGGGGAATATACCGCAGTCCGTTTTGTCTTGCTGACGACTTTACCTCAAGACACATCTGTTCTTGGCAGAATGTTGTCTCATAATTGGGGACTTCAACACACCGCATATCAACTGGATAGAGCCTACAGCTCCAGGTGGTGGTTTCGATAGCGACCTTTTATCAACCGTTATTCAGTGTTCACTTGTACAGTGTATCGTAAAACTGACACCTATTGGCTTGAAACATAATCCGTCACTGCTGAAACTCGCCCCCACCCACCACTGTGAGTATGTCTTTGATATTCAGCACCTTCCCTCACCAGTGGACAGTGATCACGTCGTACATTACTTTACGTTTAGGACACATGGTATACAATTTTGTCTGCTCCACGCCGTCCCAATATCTGACGAGCTAATATTCCGGCAATCAGAAACTGTGCTATCTCGACTGATTGGTCGGTCGACGCGGATGGATTGATCGGAGATGAATGGAATACGTTTAAGGCTACATTCGAGTCCGTAACGTCGCGTTTATCCCATGGGCAGCACGTAAGCTATCACATTGCCCTCCATGGATTAATAAGGAAACCCGGAAGCTGTTAAAGCGTAGGAAACATTTCTGGGACTTATTCATGTTGACAGGTCATGAACCTTTTAAGCGTGAGTACCGAGAATTCCGTAATATTTGTAAGAAAACCATAGCCAAATCCCGTACTACTTACGAACGACAGTTAGTATATGATAGCCGTACTTGTCCGGAACGATTGTTTTCGTATGTTAAACGGCAAATGAAACGTAGTGATGGTATTCCCCTGTTACTGTTACACGAAAATTCAAATTTACTGGCTGAATCAGATCGAGCAAAAGCTGAGACATTTTCAAACTATTTTAGTGAAGTCTACTCTACGTTTATTGATAACTAACCTCAAACCTTGTAAGACACCGGGCCCTGACGGGTTACATCCACGACTGCTGTCATCTTTTGCGGACATTATTTCAAAACCGCTTGCGACACTCTTCAACATGTCCCTTTCACTCGCTCAACTTCCTAGAGATTGGAAAGACGCTATAGTCAGTCCTATATTTAAGGATGGTCAGAGACAGATCGTATCTAACTACCGGCCTGTCAGTCTAACTAGCATAGTCGTTAAGTTACTTGAAAAGTTAATTCGGGTTAGGTTGCTAAGCCACATAGTTTTACACAATCTGTTAGCTCCTGAGCAACACGGATTTCGTGACAAGCGTTCATGCTTGACTAACTTGCTTATTGCGAGGGAGGATTGGACAGCAGCCCTAGATAACGGTCTGTCGGTCGATGTGATATTCATAGATTTTAGCAAGGCATTTGACAAGGTTTCACACGTAGGTCTTATGCAGAAGCTCACGAGCTTCGGAATAATAGGTACTGTACATGAGTGGATAAGAAACTTCTTATTTGACCGCAGACAGAGAGTGAGGGTCAATGGAACGCTATCCGATTGGAAGCCGGTCAAAAGTGATGTACCCCAAGGCACCATCTTAGGCCCTCTGCTCTTCCTTCTCCACGTTAATGAATTACCGCTGTTGCTTAGGTCGTCGACATTATTGTTCGCGGATGACGTAGAAATCTAGAGAACAATAAAAAGTGAGGCCGATCATCTGGATCTCCAAGCTGACTTAGACGATTTGGTTAGATGGGCTCGAGAGTGGGGCTTAGAAATCAATGCTAGGAAGAGTGTGCTAATGCACATCGGTCACGGTAATAGTTACCGTTACACTATTGTGGGTAAACCTCTTCCATGCGTTCAAGAACATAAAGACTTGGGAGTAATAATAAGTCATGATTTAAAAACAACTACGGATTGCAACGCAGCCACTATCAAAGGTTTTCGTGCGTTATGGTCACTTCGCTGAGCGTTCAAATCTTTTGACGAGGAAACGTTTCGAATTTTATATCCCATCTATGTAAGACCACACCTAGAGTACTGCATCCAAGCAGTTAGCCCATGTCTGGTAAAGGATACTAACTCCCTTGAGCGTGTCCGGCGTGTGGGAACGAAATTAGTGAGGGGTCTTTCTAGACTCCCTTACGATGAGCGTTTAAAACGCCTAAACCTTTTCACCTTGTCGTGTCGTAGGACGCGAGGTGAGCTTATACTGGCATTTCGTAGCTTTAGTTTTGATTTGGGTGTTAATATGTTCTATCTTTTTGCTCTTTCCAGCACAAATAATCTCCGCAGTCGTAGCAAGAAGGTTCATAAACCAAGATCTAATAAAATTAATGTGGGATTCCGTTTTTCTCATCGAGTAGTCAATCATTGGAACGCCTTACCCGAACAAGTGGTATCAGCACCATCAGTGAATAGTTACATGGAGAAGCTGGACCATCACTGGAAAGCAGTGTGTCAGGATTAATACAGGTTCATCAACCTACTATCC